CCAGCGACGCCAAAGGTCACGAGCGGCAACCCCACGGCCATGACTTCCAAGTTGGCGATGCAAAATGTCTCTTGGAGGCCTGGCTGCACGGCCACGTCCCACGTCTGGAGCTCGTGGATAAGCGCCGCCTCGTCGTTGATGCTTCCGAGAAACGTGATCGGGTACCGCTTGTAGTATTTGGCGTCGATGCCGTCCCCGACCCAGCGGAAGGTCACGCACGACGAGGTCATGTTCGTCTGCGTAAGAAGCTCGACGGCGCGTGCAAGGAGTCCCAGAGATTTTTCAGCAACAAGGCGGCCGAGATACCCCACGACGACGCAGCGATCGGTATGGCTGCGGGCGCGGGGGGCAAAAATTGTTGGATCAACGCCGGGCGGAATCACCGTTCGCATGTCGGCGCGCATCCCATTTACGACACTGGGATGGGCGAGGGTGTACTGGGACGGCCCGATGAGCAGATCGACCGTGTGCGGCACAGGCAACACGCCCGAGAGCTCGAGAACGACACCTGCAGCGCCGACAGCACGACCTAGACCCGCCCAGACTCGATCGGCGTGGCTGCCCGAGTTGGGGTAGCTCAGAACTCCTCCTTTGCACGGCGCAAAGGCACCAACGAGCAATGCCCAGAGCGAATGAAGGTACGATAGAAACGTCGTTCGATCGTCAGCGTCCGCAAAGTCGGCGAGCGCGGCTATCAGCTTTTCGTGTGTGATGTCGTACCGGGCAATATCTTTATGTGAGACCTAGACGCGATAGTGACAACTTGTACATCGACGACTAGCAATGGAAATAGACGTAATACCATCATGGGCACGTGCGTCACGTTCAAGCCGTGTGCTGTAAAGACGTCTGTGGGATGGACAGGCTTGGGCTCGAGCAGAAAGATCTATGGTCTCTCATCGAACCGTTGACGACCCACGGAGTTGACGTACGTGGAACGAGTAGTCGACGGTTGGATGCGCTCGAAGGGACGCGATGAGCCGCAGCCAAAGCCGCTTTTGACCATCCATTGGCCACGATGTCACGCCAAAACAGAGTGTCCTTGAAGTGGGACGCGCCGCCTTGGCCGACGGCAGTGCCAGCAGCGCCATCTTGGATCGTCCCGTGTCTCGGTACAGCTCCGCACGGGACGGGATGCGCTCAATGTAGAGCACGATGGGTGCGCTAATCGGTGTGTAGTTGGCGCTAAGGGCCTCCACCACAACATGATGCGACCCGGGATGGAGGTTTCCGAACGTAGTTTTGGGCGCCCGGATGGGAAGCATATCCCGCAGGCCGCATCCTGTGAAGCGAATGTGCCCATCGGTGGTCGGGCCATCGACCGCAATCACGATCGGCACCTCGGGCGTCTCGATCAGGTAGTGCGGCGGCGGCCACAAAACGCGCAGCGACGTGTGAGCCGACGACGTCGCGTTGCCAACGACAAGCAGCAGCGCCTACGCGCCTGGTTTCTTTCTGCCCCGAGTAGTTAGCTTACTAAAGAACGACGCACGAGCCGCGCGACGAGACTGCCAGCCATCGCGTTTTGTGTTTGTGGTCCACGACGATCGCAACGATTGGGTCGCATCGCGCATACTGAAAACAAGACAAGGAAATGGATATGTCAATTGAATTACCCACCAGTTACTCATGGCCAATGTATTAATGCAATTCTAGTATTAATAATATATCTGTGGACTTGAGGCTCGTATGGTGCTACAGTGGTGCGGGTCCGTTTAAGTGCGACAATCGGCGCAGCGCCCAAGTTTTATAACTTGGTGTTTGTATGCAATCAAAACAATACCTGTGTGTGGCATAACTGCTCCTGCAACGTTGAACGGTAGGGAAAATGACAGAACTGGGTAAAAACTGCGTCGAAACAGGAATTTGGAGAAAAAATAACCATTCACTTAAATTTCCGGCAGGTATTTGGGGTTGTTTGGCAAGGTAGTCGCAGGGAAGGGAAGGTGGGGTGATGTGAGGTAGTGAGGAAGGTTGAAGGATTGCTGCATAGGTCTTGTTTGCGGGTAAGGAGGAGAAGGCATGTGAAGACGCCGAGGCTTGCCACCACGTGCCATATTTGTCACACCATAGTAAAACCAAGTCTATGTATTTTTATGCAATTCACCCAGTTTTGGGTTGATGTGGACCCACGTTCACCCAGTTTTGACATTTTCCCTCTACGGACGGTACTGTACCAGGTACTGTACCAGTGCACACCAGAAAAAGCCTACAGTGCCATCCATCGATAGTTCCAAAACCACCAATTCCAGTGTAGATAACGTTGTTTCAATGCAAGATGCGCCAAAGCGACTCTTTTCGGTCCAAGACTAAGCCATGGATGCCCAGAACCATCCATTTTTCCATCAAACGCGTCTGCGTTGCAATCCAATTGCGTAAAACAATCACGTCCACCGCGACATAGCACGGCGTACAGTAGCACGATGTCAGCTTGCGTGATCAACATCAGCGACAGCTCGCGCACACTTGTTAGGGTTTGTACATGGCACTGCCAATGAGACGCCCGTACGCCTCGTCGTACGCTGCCACCGTGTGGGCCCATGTATACCGCGTCTCGACCGTGCGTCGTGCGCCATGGCCGAGCTGGCGTCGCAAAATCGGATCGTCGGCCAAAAGCGCGATCGCGGCGGCGAGTGCTCGCGGAGAAATCTCGTCGACGACCCACGCGTTCTCCTTGTGGCGCACGTACTCGGCGACGCCAGCGACGCCAAAGGTCACGAGCGGCAACCCCACGGCCATGACTTCCAAGTTGGCGATGCAAAATGTCTCTTGGAGGCCTGGCTGCACGGCCACGTCCCACGTCTGGAGCTCGTGGATAAGCGCCGCCTCGTCGTTGATGCTTCCGAGAAACGTGATCGGGTACCGCTTGTAGTATTTGGCGTCGATGCCGTCCCCGACCCAGCGGAAGGTCACGCACGACGAGGTCATGTTCGTCTGCGTAAGAAGCTCGACGGCGCGTGCAAGGAGTCCCAGAGATTTTTCAGCAACAAGGCGGCCGA